GAATTAAAGCCCATATTTGTGTTACCCCGTGCCAAGCAGGTTCTCGTTTCACTTAGACATGTCCCCAGTTGCCTGCTGTCCCTGTCCCCTTCAAATCTCCTCACGGGGTGCTCCCCTCCATCAAATGAGAATCTAAATAAATGACCAATGCCTCCTCCAGCATTACGTTATTTCAGAGAAATAAAATCTTTTGAGATGAATAATGCTGTGGATTCATATATTGCAGGGCCCAGATGGCATTAAGAAAGTAGCAGATTACGCACAGATGTGGCAAATGGGATACCGAACACTGCCACCAGGGTGGTACCCCACTCAAACTCACTTGTCCAAATCACTCAGCTCAAACGGCCAGCTCCTTGGCCCCTCTCTGATCTTAGGAGAATGTGTGTTTGTAGTGCTCCTCTCTCCTCAGACATACCCGTGTTGGAGTGGTGGGCCTGTGAAGGGTGGGAAACCACCAACCTGGCTGATTCAGTCTCTAATAGACAGAACTTTCTCCATACACTGAATTTTTACCCAACATACTTTAGAGAGATAGTCAGGTTTAAATTATATATGGCTGTACATTTCATCTGTCTTTGTGAAAAGTGAATTTGCAGTATAATTCACAGAAATGAAATCTAAATACAGAATAAATATTCCTATTCCTATGAAATAAATGGATTGAAAACAGGGCTTTCAATCCAGGGCCTAGATATCCTCAATGATACCAGAACAAATGTATCTGTGACGTCAGTCTTATTGCTGGCATGTTGAAAAGGTTAGACAGAGGCAGCTGTGAACTTTAAAAGATGGGATGATGTCAGTAGATTTATCTTGTCTTCCTCCCCCAATTTCCCTTTTTATTCAGAGGACAGTAAATTTATGGAAATAGATAAATCAAATTCTGCATATGCAACTCAGCATGAACACCTTGCCCTGATTCAGAGACTGTCTCGATCAGAGAATGTGCTGTATGGGACAAACCTGGAAAACCTTTCTGCTGAGATGATGAGCAAATCTTGTGATAACCTCAGTGTGGAAACCAGCAACAGGACTAGAGACAAAAGTAATCTCGACAGGTAGGTTTGGGTTTTTTTCTAAATGTCTAAGAATATTCAGCAACAGACTATATCATTGCAAATTTCTTAGGTAAGCTGTGAGGTGCCAGACATTTTTCTGCAGTATTTACTGTGGTCACACCAAAAGGCTCAGTCAGGACTGGGCCTCCATTGTGCCAGCAACAGTGCAAACACAGGCAGGAAGCTGACAATCTACCACGCAAGAATTTGAAAAAGAGTTGACGTTTAAATTTGTACCGGATTCAGGAATGAACCACTTACTGGGATATAGAGAAGGATAAAAATAAGGCAGAACAAAAGTAAAGTTTGTAATGTATGTGTACCTTCTCTGGAAGAGGCAGTATATAAACTGAATGCAGGGTGGAAGCTGTTTTGGACCAGGTCTTCCCTAATAGATTCCCTGGTCTAAAGGTGCAAACACAGAAAACTGTATAAGAATTTCTCTCTTTTCATTCACATCGGTATATTCATCAGAGCGTAGGTGGTTACCATAGCTGCAAACAGTTTTCAAGGCTTTTGATGAATTCTAATGCCTTTTAGAGTGCTATGAAGTACAACAGAGCCAAGAAGAACATGAACTACCAGGAAAACTTTCAGTATTGTCTAAATGGACAGCAGGACTAACTGACTCATGCTGCGACTATGCTGTGCTTTCCTGCTGCCTGCACTCAGCTCAGAGAACAATACAGGGGGGAGCACTCACCATGTGAGGGGTCTAATGGCAGCTGAATGTGGAAGCAAATGCTTGCAAGGATGTGCTGTCCCCTACAATGAAATGTGGCCCACAGATGAGAAGACCTGCTGAAAGGCTATAAATGTGTGCATTTCCCACTTGGCTCTGACAGACTAATGACAATGAAGAGTGCTGAATACCATTGTTGATTTGTTATTGTAATTCGGTCTTCATTTGCTCCCCTGCAGATCTACATCAGGACTATCCCAATCAGAAATGCACATCAATATGAATGGAAAGCAAAGGAGTTATGACTACCTCTCTATCCATTCAACTCAGAACACTATCAGCAGTGAGTATAATAATCATGAAGGGAGATGGTACTCTTCCATATTTATTGATTCACTGGCAGGAGACCAAAATATATTCTATTTACAGATCAAAGAATAACCTTTTGCCACTTGTAGTCCTGGGAATTGACCCAGGACTGAGCAAGACAAGTTGTTTTCTTCCCTTTCACTCCTCCTTTCCATCAGGATCAGTGGTAAGGGACTTGATGATCAAGTTTTTCCACCAATGATGCCTAATATTTGGTTTGCCTTTGAGATCCTCAATTCATTAAATGATACATGAGACAAAACATGTTCTAGCTCCCTCCTCTGTGCTTGTGTTTGCATGACACAACTAACTGGAATAAGAAGCACAAGACACCTCATTTTCTTACAGAAGCTAGTTGCTTGGTATCGAACGAACACAGGTAACAGATCTATGGCATACGAAGCTGAGATTATTTGTCCAGTTCCTTTTAAAGTTAGAACTGTACTTGTACACACAGTGTACACACTGTGGCAATTGCACAGTACTAAATAGTGTTGCACTACGAAAGCCATTATCATAATCAGTGCTGATGGGGTTATAATTACATAGCCAAGAGGGCTCTGCAGAGCCCACTGACCCTACAACAAGAGTTTCCAAAGGAATGTATAAGAGGTTTTGTTTCCAAATTCCCCTCATGTTCAATGGGCATTGGGTGCCTGACTCTTTAAAGATCATATTCTTAACAAGACTGAAGTGTACTCTCCCAGAAATGATAGACAGAATATAGGAGGTGCTTACACTGCTACTGTGCTTTCCTCTTCTACATATATTCTGTTCTAAAGAAAGGGAATTTCCAAACACTTGTTTGAGCTTCCTTCCTGAACTAAATTAATTCAGAAGTAATGGTAATGTTGAAAAGAAGGATAAAATATATATTCAATTTTTAAAGCCCCAATTGTGCATATTACATGAATCTCCTGTCTCCCTGCACTCATCTGCATTTATTCTAGCTGTTTTGTTTCTGCAGCGCCTGGATCACCAGTCCAAAGGGAACTTTTGCTAAGTGGTCTAGAAAGAGAAATCATTTGTGTCACCCTGAAACGCGACCCTAAGAATGGCTTTGGTAAGTAATGAGCATGAATGTGATGTTTGTTACTAGGAGTGTCAGATCCTGGTGCTAACGCTGATACTTGCTGATAGAAGCTGAGCAAGACTATATCTTTCACCTAATTTATTCTTCTTGTAGAATGAGACAACCAATCTTTGCAAAGGACTTGGTATTTCCAAGAGTGAAAAGGACAAAGCACATAAATCAAGACTACAGTTTTTTCAGAGGATTAACTAAGGCCATAGATACCAAGTGGATTAACTGTTAAGTGTAGAACGAAAGGAACGAGGTCTAGTTTTGCATCTGAAATACATACACAGTGTATATATACAGTGATTTTATCTACGTCAGACCTTACACATGGGGAGCTAGTGTTCTGCAAACCTTTTACATATTGCCCATGCGGGTGCAAAATGCATATGCAGCTTAACATGAATGTTTCCTGACTTTCGGATTCTTATCTGGGTAACATTTTTGTTATATAATACACTATCATACTGTATCCTCTTCTAGTGGATGAGTTCAGAGCGCTATCAAGTTCCACTGCTGACCAATAACACAGTTAAACATCAAATTCCTAAACGATAGAGGTTTGAGCGGAAAATGTTGATTTCAAACTCAACTATTCTACCAGTGAAAAGAATTTTTGCAATATGCAGAGTATTCTGAGGTAGTATACTGAAATTAAACTACTTTTAGTTTTCTTAGATACCTCTTGCATGACCATTAGCATTCCTCATGGCCTACCTTAGGTCTCCTGTACCACATGATGTAAAACAATGTTTTAACTTATCTAATGAGCTTTTATACTGTGTTCCTCCTGTAGGTGTCATAGCAATTTCTAAGGTCCACAGGTTCACATGGGTTATGCTTCTTGTAGCAAAGTAGTTGGAATCTTCTGAAGTCCCAACTCAGGAAAGTATTCTTATTGAGAAATTATATTTAAATACAAGTCTCCAGCATGCTTAAATTAAAGTGTGAGTTTAAAGCTCTCCCAAATCAGTACCTTGATGCCATGCAAATCAGAGCTCCCCATTCCCCAGACCACACATAAAATGTATGCTGCTGGATTAAAATGCTTTTGTCCTCCTAAGGTTCATCTTTTCTAATACTGCCAGTGTCTCTGCCTTCTCATGCTATCTCGTTTTTGCAGGTTTTGTAATTATTGGAGGAGAAAATGTAGGAAAATTAGACCTTGGTATCTTTATCGCTTCAATTATTCCTGGGGGACCGGCAGATAGAGCTGGAAATATCAAACCAGGTCATTGTCCTCAGTTTTTAATTAGAATTAAAATACTTTCATGGTTTAAAGTTAGCTACTCTGGATTTATTTCCCTATTCTGATGTGTTTTGTCTTGTTTTTATCCTTTTTTAAGGGGGAAGACTCATCTCTGTGAATAACATTAGTCTTGAGGGTGTTTCGTTTAATACTGCAGTTAAAATTATACAGAATTCTCCTGATGAAGTGGAATTGATCATCTCTCAGCCCAAAGGTACAAAGGCAAATGTCTCTGCCTGGCTGTGAAATACTAACAGTTAACTCTGGACACTGGTATTTATTAGCCATTGGGATGTAGTAGTACTTCCTTACCACTCAGTGCCAGTTTAAAAAGCATAGGTTAGTAGTGAGAAAAGGCAACTTCTAGTGGGTATTATGGGATCTCTGTCCTACAGTCAATGTGAAAAAAATCTGATGCATTATGGGCTTTATCCTGCACTGCTGAATACAATGGGAATTTTGGCATTGCTCTCTGTGACAGAATTAGTTCTACAGTACAGCTCTTAGTCATTGTTATTGTTACAGTTCTCTGCACTGATGAAGGAAATACATTTCTCCGTACACACAATAGCAGTGCTAACTTTTACAATGACTAACTCATTTTGCGGATCTCAGATTTCACATAATAATAATTGCCTTCAAATTTACTTATTTATTTGCATTCAGCAATGTTTCATTTTGCAGACATTTATGAAGAAGGATTAAATGAAGAAAAGAGTCTATCAAGAGGGAACAGCACTAGTGGATCCGAGATCTCTTGTGTAGACAGTGGGAGAAAAAAGATTCAAGATTGTCATACTGCTCCCTCCAAAGAACAGGACATAAATATAGATGAACTAGAGAAGGCTCTTTCCTGGAATTTAGCACCAAAATTGGGCCCGAGGATTCCAGTTCTTTCAGTTGACAGCCTGGATGTGGAGGTAACTGATATCTTGATGCTGTTCAGTAACGTTATGCCCATCGTGTGTCTTAACAACATGCTTCCTGTATTAAGAATAGAAAGTAACGGAGAAGATGAAAGGAGGAAAAAAGGAAGAAAACCTTGGAAGATGTTGCTTGTTATATTAAATTTGAAATGTCAAAATGATGCCTGTGTCTAGAACAGAGTCAAAATAGAGGGGAAACTCTTCCGTAGAATGTTATTAAAAATTCTCCTCCCTTTTCCAGTGGAGGTACAAAATTTTGATTATTTTCTTGCAAGCTCAAGGATCTCAACCGGTACATTTTGTGCCTGAGTCTGTACTATTAGACAGCCTCCCTATCTACCCTCCACTTACGAACACTGAGACAAATTAGATTCTGAGCAACACTAGTGTAAGCTTGGAATAATGCCAGGGTACTACTGCCAATGGTGCTACTCCAGGCTTACAATGACAGCAGGATCAAACCCTTTATACCTTCTAGAAAATCTTTTTTTTTTTTTTTTTTGCTGATGCTGTAGCCTCATTAGTGTTTATATTCTTGAGACAGGAAGCCGACTCCTCGCACTTACCATCTCCGGCTGAAACCAACTCAAATGAAACCTATGCTGTGGAGCTTGTCAAAGAAGATGGGACTTTTGGAATCAGTGTGACTGCAAGTGTTACTGTTAATCTTTCAGTGTGTCCTTCAAACTCTTATATGACCAAGAAGTGAACAGGGAAATGTATATCTGTGCAACAATAGTAGATAAAAGGCTGTTAGCAAGAACTGGTAGCATGTGTTTCAAATCAGTCTTTGACTGATTGACAGAGTAAGGGTAAAGCAGTGACTGCTTGTCTCCAGTTCTGACCAGAAGAGTTTTTAAAAATATGCTGGCAAAAAGCTCATGGCGCTACATGGCCTTTTCACCCTGATTTGATTTGAGACCAAGACCTAATGCTGAAAGCAGAGTTTTGTCAGGGAGGGATACAGCCAGTGCCTCCAGAAAATGCAATGATGCAAAGAAACCCCTCAGTCATGACTGGTTTGGCTGCTTCCAGAGGGCTCCTGCAAGTCAAAGGCTGTGCCTCCCCTCCAGAGCATGGGCTCAGGCACTGGCCTGCAATCCCAGGCACTGTCTGGTTGCACGGCTTTGGCCTATGCCAGCTAGCACAGTGCTGGGATAGCCCTGGCCGGGAATGTTCTCAGCAGGCAACGTAACACAAGTCACCCTATGCCGGGGGGGAGAAAGTTCAGTTATGTGGGCGCTCAAGCTATACCATGACTCCTACTCTGAAGGCCAGAGAAAGGGCTTGGGACAATTTTATTACTAATACAAGGAAATACCATTCTCCTTATATTCAGAGGGCCAGAGAAGGCCACATTTGAAGAATATTTCTCTGTTCTGGCTATGGAGGTTGAATCTATCCCTACAGGCTGAGGGGTCTTTTCAGTCCATGCTGAAATGGAGTGGGAGGCAACAGCCATTTCAGTGTTTGCAGAAGAAATGGAGGGCTGTTTTTTTCATCTGGATTTGCCTAAGGGATGTAGACGGACAGAATGATGTTCTTAGGTTAGTCTGCAATTCCCCTGTGCTGAAGGTTCTTGAGCAACTACATGAGTTCAGGTCCATGCTTCATATGTGGTTTGAAAGGCTAATAAATGCTGAATGCATATTGCATATTTTAGAAGCTGGGCTGACTTAAAGGGGTAATCATATCATTACATTAGCATGGGGAAATATTTATGAATGTTTATTAAATATGTTTATACAGCCACATAGAAATGTGCTGTGTTTTACTGAGAAAATAAAACATGATTTCTGCCTGGGGAAATACATTACAACTAGACAGGATATTGGAATGACATCCTCTTTCAGTTTTTTCCTATATATATATTTTTTTAAATGTAATATCTGTTCATATGTATCGGGCATACATAATATATGTATGCCTGGCAAGGCATACATAAGTTGCTTTGATTTTTATCACAAGTCTCTACTCTAAGCTGTGGACATATGTTTTGCAGGGTGGAATTAACACTAGTGTGCGTCACGGTGGAATATACGTGAAGTCAATTATTCCCAGGGGACCAGCAGATAAGGATGGACAAATAAAAATAGGTAATATATTTGACAATAAAACTTTGGGCTACACAGCTTAGTGGGGAATGCTTGCCACAGGACAATGAAACACGTTTGGCATACAAGGGCATACATCTCTGAAACATAAAATACACAGTCCTTCATTCCTCAGCCTGCCACTGTAGTGTATTTAGATAACCCACTGGAAAAAGACAGGAATCTCATACCAACATTGTACAGTTCCTCACAGTAGCTGCACATCAGGCTAGTGATGCTCAGATATCTGATGTCAGTATTGATGTGATAACCAGACACCACCACTGCATGTATTCACAGAATACCTTGGTATGACTTAGGTGCTAGGTATAGAATATTGTACACTATGCAGTAATGTTTTTAGATAAAGCAACATAATTTTACACACATAAGTGTGAAGATCTAATGCACAGGGGTAGCTTCGCAGTTGATACCCAATGAATTCGAACATCAATGCAATTTGCCTCATTTTTTTTTGTTTCAGGGGATCGTCTGCTAGAAGTAGATGGAATCAGCCTCTGTGGTATCACACACAAGCAGGCTGTGGAAAGACTTAAGAAATCTGGCCAGGTTTGTATAATGGCAGAACAGAATGAGATGACGGGTATGGTACGGTGCACTCGGTATGAAGCACAGTAGCAGACGTGGGCCAAAAGGAATCCCCCCCACCTTTCTCCTAATGAAAAGTAAAAATATTAGGGTTCACTGTGCACTGTATAAATATTTACCTTTGGGACTTGTTTACCCTTTTTAGGTTGCCAAGCTTGTTCTAGAAAGGGGACACCACCGACTGGCAGAGCTGTGCCTGACTGCTAAGGACAGAAAGGAGGACCAACGCACAGCTGTTCCTGTGGCAACATCCTTCACAGACGGTACCAAAGACTACTCCTTTGTGACAGATGGTAAGAGATAAAAAAGGGACTCTGGCTGACTTTCTCTGACTGTACTTCTTACAATGCGCAAGAAAGGAATGAATGAAAATAATTCCATGAACTTTCTGTGGGTTGGAAGGAAAACTGCACGCTGAACAAATACAAGACAATGTGTGTTATTAACAGCATCATCAAAAATTAATTCTGAACAAAATATTTCTGAAGTACAGTTACAGTTGATAGATATAGCTAATTCAGAAATCACTCCCACTCAATTTATCCTAAGCTCCCGCTAGATTTATTCTAAGCATAAATACTACGTCTCTCAGCCTTGATGAGATGGGGCTGGCAGGAGGGGTCCCTTTCTCTGCTCTCACAGCACTCTCATGTGGGAAGCAGCCAGGTTATTGATGCTGGTTAACTGGCTAGTGCAGCTGCTGGTGCTGTGCAAAAGATGTAGCTAGGGTGAATTGCTGCCCCATAGACTGGACTGGGGAGTGCTTTCACTTCATTTTCTTAAAGGCATTCAGTGACTCAGACATCACTTCCATTGAATTTATCCAACAAATAAATGCTGTATCTCGTAGTGGGTGGCTGACTCGTAATCCCTAATCTGCCCCACCAGTTCCTATGAGAAAGCTGCTGCTCTTCACTGTCCTGAGCAGAACACGGTTCACAGCTCCAAGAATAGTATTTGGGAAAGGGCTGGTCCCTTGATCTTGCCAGAAAAAAACGGTGGCTCTGATTCTAGCTTCTGCTGGTTTGTGCAGCACCTGAATTAATACCAGGCAGCTACAAAATACAGAGACCTACTAAATACATACAGGGGAAAGTCTGAAAAGGATAGCATTGGAACGTTTTTATGTCAGTACAGAATGCTTCTTCCCTTATGGGCTTGTGCCAGACAGTATAAAGCCTGGGAACACATGGTGGAATAGAATTCATTTCACACCATTCTGCCTATGTGAATTCTAGGGCTCCCATAAGTTAAAGGAACACTAAAACTTTATTTTGTTATTAGTATCAGTAGGTCTACCAAGGGGTACATATGCCATGCAGCCCACTCTTTTTCCAATCCCTCCTTTGAACAGATAATACATTTGAAGTCAAATTGACAAAGAATTCTGGGGGCCTTGGCTTCAGTTTTCTGCAAATGGAAAGAGATGCCTGTGAACACCTTGGAGGAGCTATTGTCAGGATCAAAAGACTGTTTCCAGGGCAGCCAGCTGAAGAGAATGGAGAAATTGAAGTCGGAGACATCATTTTAGCAGTGAATGGGAAACCTATTCAAGGACTTTTGTATCAGGTACCAGGCAGTGCTATCAAAGGGCTTCCTGCTGGGTAACATATTAATTAAGTTTAAATGCAGTTTCATCTCATTGTCTTTATAATCACCAGAAGGGGTCAGAACTTGCTTGTAATGACTTTGATTTTTATGTAGAATTCCTCTGTAGAATTCTTATGTAGAATTTCCTTCTTAACAGAATTCTTACAGAGAATTTTCTTTCATTATTTAATTTCCAGCTTTTCACTAGTGATGCACAAAATCTATTGGTAGATGCACACCACTTGTTAATTAGTTGGAATCTTTGTTACTCTTATGCATAATTAAAACATTTTTCCCTGTGGTCATGTGTGCTCTGTAATGTGATGCTAAATACCATGCCCCAGATTCTAATTTCCACCAGGTAAGTAAGCGTACAGTAACTTCTTTGCCTGGAATAAGTCATTCTATATTTACCCTAAGACAACAAATCCAAAACTAGCTCCTTTTTACCATTTATTTTTCCATCATAATCTTTTCACCTTATGAAAGTTCCTAAGAGATAGTGCTGTATATGAATATGCATTGAATAGGTATAATTGTTAATGAACAGGAATGATGAAAACATCATGCACTTTTCCTACTGAAAGGCTATTTGTGTTGTTAAATGGCTAAGGCAAAAGACAAGGTGCTGTGAGCCCCAGACAGCTTGGGGGCTGCAGTCATGTGCCTTATTCCTCTTTTGGCTTGGAGAAGAAGTCTGTCCTTGCCAGCACCATCTTGCTCTCTGTTGTACTGCCTTTTTACTCAGTTTGTGCAGAGGGACACATAGGATGCTTTTGCCTTTAGGATTTTTTTCCTCTAGATAAAATGTTTCATCTATCACTACAGTTGAAAGCCAAATGCTACTGAATAAATGCTACTTTCAGGAGGGGCTTTGAGAAAGACTCCCTTTGGTTAAGACAATATGGCAGTCTGTGGGGCTATGCTAATATAACCGGCTAAAGATCTGTCCCTGTCATATGCAATTTGAATGTGTTTGTCTGAAAATTCTGATTTTCTTCAAGAAAATAAAGATATTATTTTAAAGCTGGATGTGTATTGTTGGAACATGAGTTTGTAAACAGGACTGATTTTATCTTAGATACACATCCACATAAATATTATGATCCACTCAGATACAACAACCATATAGTAGTGAATTCTGGCTCGCAGATACTGCTGAAAGGCACGAATACTATGAATTTAGCATTCACATAAAAATTGTCTCCACCCCAGTTAGTAAAAAGGCACATGCTTTGGATTGGGATCAAATGTCTTCTACAAGAACTCTCATATTCCTTCTACCTGCTTAGGATGTCCTCCACTTGTTGAGAGGGGCTCCCCCAGAAGTCACACTTCTTCTCTGCAGACCACCAGAAGGTGTTCTTCCAGAAATAGAGCCAAGTGCCCTGGTAAGACAAAGCTTCTATCCTAAATTTACTTCTGTAAACCTGGAAAACTACTATTACATTTGCTAGCCAGCCTTGAACAAGACCACCTTCCCTTTTCTCCAAGGCACTCTATTATGTTCCTTTCCCTTCTCAGCTGCATCTCCCTCTCTGGAGTTCAACTGCTACTTCCTTAGCAACCACAGTAGTAGAAAAGTGACAGATGTGAAACACTGTGTATCCCAGTTCTACAGCTTTTGAATTGCAGCGCTATTATTGGGATGAAGTAGCATGTACCCAAGCAGATCTTCAAGTGATGCTGCTAAAATGCTCTACTGGATTCTAAACCAGATACTTAAGATAGTCTCAAATGCAGCTCTTCATGTTGTAACCTGCAGGTTTGAGGAAACTATGTGAAAGAGAAATAAATAAAGAACTTTTCCTATCCAGGCTGCCTTTTACTAAACTTAACTAAGTGAAATAATAGTTTCAACTGGTTATTTAGCTTGTTTTTGATAGTTAGCAGAGTCAGCAGAAAAGCTAGAAACTGTGGCGGCTGCAGAGAATAAAGCATGTCCTTTCACGGTTTTGATTAAAAAAGTGACATTAGGTAGGCTAGCCATTATTATTCCTCATTCTTGAATACAATTCATAGACACGTGCATAAGTACTCCCATCCTGAATATGCATTTGCAGTACTCTTGCTCCACGCAGGATGGCCTGCTTCTGGTTCCTGTCCCACCATAGCTGCAGTCAGACAGAAAGTCAGCTGCAGGTAGACAGAAATGATTGTCAGGACCATTTCTAGAGAATAAAAATGTCTTCTGTTGCTCTCCTACAATGTGCACGATAACATTTAGGTGGCTTTTTTGATTTCTATGGTCAGTTACACAGGATATTAGAAGCCACTTTTACACACTGCAGAGAGTATAGGCATAAAGTTGAGGCACAGCATGAAAAGAAATGAAAAGGGGTCTCTCCTAGCGAAGAATTCACTAAGAAAAAAGTGAATTTCTGTGGTAGTTCCCTGGATGGAATTCCTGAAGAATGAAGAAGATGATCATAAAGGCAAAACAATTATGTACTTAGCCAGTACCTCCCTCTATTTCTTCCTCCCTTCCAGCTACTGCTTGATTTTTTTCCTATTAAGAAGCCTGTTGATATCTTCTTTTGTTCTTAAAGGAAGGAAGATGGGAAAGAATGAGTTCTTAATAAAAAAAGGAATTATACTAACCCTTCTATTATTTTGATAGACTCCAGCACCATCGCCAATTAAGGAATTTGTAGCAGGGATACCAGCCAGTCCAGAGATGGGAAATAGTTTGGATCAGTCTACCAGTGACAGAGGTAGCCCCTCTCCAGAACTGGAAGACTGTCTGGATTCTCCAGTGCCAGCAGATTTCAGTGAGCCTCCTGAAGAGGACAACTCAAATTATGAAGAGCAAGAAGTAGAGACTCAAGAGAAGCCCATACAGACCCTTATGCCTCCCAGGGAAAGTTATAAACACTTTTGGAAGTTTCATCACGAAGCTGTCAGTTCTGAAATGTTCCAGTCCCTAGAGGAAGAAGTGAGGCAGAACTGCTACTCACCATGTGAATTTGGATGGGCCAAAGGGTAAGAAATAATGAAATCTGCTCTGCAGTCTTTCCTTTGGCTGTTACACTTCTGAAAGTGATTTGCTAAGGTTTAAATACAGAGCTGTCTGCTTCTAACCACTCCTAATTCCTGAACATTTTGATTTACCAGCCTTTTCTGACTAACCTAATCCACTGTCTCTATTTACTCGCATCGTCTTATTGGAACTGGGTGTAAGTCTGCATTAAAAGACAATTGTATGAATGCTGCACTACTGTAATCAACTTTACTGTTCACCTGAATCTGGTTGCAGTCTGAAGTGGAAAGACTCATGTTGGCCTTAATAGGCATCAAAGCTTTTCCTACTTATTGTATGATCTTTTAATTTCAAAATTTTCAGAGGAAATAAAAAAAATAACCTCAGAAAACAAGCTGTGATCAAGGAGGAAAAACAATTTCTGGCTTTCGGAAACCAGTCGAAGCCTTGAGCCAGAAAAATTATACAATAAAATATATTACGGAGACTCAGCCTCCTTTTACACTCTGTTGAATGTATCAGACACCGGACAACAGAACACCCACCAATTCCATTTTAATGATCTTTCCTAGTGCAAAAGATTTTATATTATCAGAACAGAAAGGGTTAGTGGAGAGACAAGGTAAAGATCTTCCTTTAGGAAGGACCAATTTCACTTACAGCTTTATTAATTTTCTCAAGAAACTTTCTTCTATTTTTCACATAGTCATTTGATATCCCTTTGTGACTCTTGACGTTCACCGAGCACAGAACCAGATAGTCACAGATTCCAGTTTCTGGGGAGCCACAGCACTAGGTGACTGCAAGTCTAGTGGAAGCATAACTGCAATCCATACTTTTATCTCCTCTTACTCATGAGTGAAGATCCTGCTTGCACATGTGTTTCTCTACTGCTGAGATTAAAACCAGCAGAAATACGTCTATAGCAAACATACTTGCCAAGAGATATAGTTTCATCAAAACTAAGTTTCGTGTGGGAAAATATCAGTTCCAAGAAAAATTTTGGATTCTTCCCAGGAAGGAAGTTCTGAAATAAATGTTTTTGTTTGGCATAGTCTCAGTATAATTTGGTTTCAGCTTTTGCATTTTCAAAAGGCAGCCAGAGCAGTTTAACAAAATATGCATGTGAAATAGTATGTTAGATGTCACCTCACCTTAAATGATCCTTCTGGCTAAAACAGGTAAATAAACAAAAGCAGAAGGAAATAGGCATTAATCAAAGAGAAGTATCCCTTTTTTTCCTTCAAATTGCTCAAAACTTCTCATGCAAAGGTGGAAATTTTCTGATATGAATTTCAAAAATTTTCTACTCAGTGTTTCACATGGAAAATCCTCTTCCCTCTTCTGCTCATTGCCACCAAAAAGAACCTTTAAAAAAATGTTTCACAAAACTTTACCCCATAGTTTTGTCCTGGAAGTCCAGGGGCAGAGGTCACCAGACACAGACTCCAAAAGACGAACTTGACCAGGCCAGTGGAGCTTGTGTATGGGCCTACAGGACCAAGACTCATATATTTCCTCTAGTGACGCAGAGATGGGCTCTAACTGCCATCAGTGCTATGGTTAAGCCGCTGCTTGGCTCATTGCCTTGAGCTTGTGTAGCTCTGCCAAACACCTTCCATGCCCTTGAACATCAATCAGCACTTCACTGGCACGTGACAGTTTCTGTGACATCCTCAGTGACTGAGGTCCATTGAGCCTCATTGGTCTTTTATTTCCCTTGTCTTCTAAAGAAAAGAATAGACTGTATTTGCTGTTATCCTTAAAAATTTCATTTAATCATCCTCGTCCTCTTCCAGAGTATTGTAAGCATCTGTTGTCCTGCTTAGCAATATTTCAGTTAAGACTGATATGAAGAAAACAGACACTTTTCAGTAAAAATGTGTTTCAAGCATTTCTGTTAGCTTTAATGGTAAGTTTAATGACTGTAACAGTATCAATTAACTAAAGACAACAGCCAAAACATAGCATTAAACAGAACACATACGATTACACAGTCTGGACTTGAACCTCAAAAATGCTGAACTCTGTCTCCAGTAGAGTGGAATAAGTTAAATAATAATTTTACTGTAATTAAGTGAATACATCCATTCATTTCAGTAGGACAACTCTTGTGCTTCAAGTCAAGCATATGTTTTCCTGCTTTGCTGGCCTAGCATCAAAGTAGCAAGTGCTTCTCTATATGCTCTTCCTACACTTTGTTAACTTTATTAACTTTACTATAATGTGAAAACCCGAAATCATAATTATGCAGATAAGTATACCATAAAAGCAGGCCTATGTACACAGAAGCCAGCACTTATGAAAACTGGGAAGCTAGAATTAAGATCCCCTAAAGAGGTGGCCCAGATTTCTAGGCAACTGAGGTTCAGCTGTTCCCATCCAGGACCAATATACCTTGCCATTATGGAGTGCATCTGGTCTTTGTATTTGAAGTTCAATTTTTTTTCAAAAGGAAGATAAAGAGAAGGGTTGAATAAAAACAGCCTTCCAAGGGAATTTAGGACTAGAAATATAAAATGATTCCTGTCTCTTCATGTTACCATGAACAGAACGGTAGCAGCCAGTAACGTGGCTGGCTTCCCTTTCTCAAGAAGAAAAAGGTAATTATGAAAACTGAAGTACTGTAATATTCATACTGCTTACCAGATAAGTTAATTAAGTTGTTTATGGCAGATGAAAGAATTTACAGTAGGGGTCTAAGAATTGTCCAATTAGTCTTTTAAAATAACAACAATGCACTATCACCTTAAAAAAAGTGTGCAAAATTTTGCAAAGACTGTTTTCAAATTCTGAAATCTTTTTATCTTTTTACTAGCATTGCAAAATATTGATTTTTTATTTATTTATTTTATAGTAACACTAAGAGGACTCAGTCAGCAACTTAATACTGTAACTATTGCTTCAGTTAAAATTAAAGTAAGGTAGTGCACAAGCAGTAGAGATTTCAGCAGCCACATAGTAAAGCATATGGAAGGAAAGCCCAGCCCTGCAATCTTTTTATTTTGCAGCCCTGTATTTAGTAAGAGTGATGATGACCTATCCAAAACAAATTGCATGCCTGAAATTCTCTCTCTAACCCCTATTGATGAAGAGTATCTCACCATCAGCTCAACATCTGTGACCTCACTTTCACGAGGAGGAAGCTCTGAGAGATTGTCCTCAACCACAGCCACTCCGCAACCATGTGTTTGTAGCCCTTTCTCATCATCCCTACCTCCTAGAGCGCCACGTGACAGTGACAATGAATGGGAAGATTTGGAGGAACAGGAGGAAGAGGAGAAAGCAGAAAAGGAGGATTGCTCTAGGGTATGTGGATAGGCACCAGATCATTAACAGGTAGACCATGACAGGGGAGAAGAAACAACTCAAGTGTGGCAGTTCTTAGAAACATTAATTGTGACTCATTAACCATGTAATTTCTGCATGGCTTTTCTTATTTTCCTGAAAAGTCTGAACCTGTGAGCAAAGCAGACCTTTCTCTATGCCCAACTCTCCAGAATTCTTTACCATTTCCCTTAAAGTCACCTCCCTTTTCGGCCATCTTGCTATTTCTTCAACTTGCCAGTATTCTACATTCTTATTCCCAGCATACGTAGGCCCACACCCCATCCTGCTCTCTAGTAACATCTGAAATAAACTGCAGTCAGCTACTTGGGTTTTTTTTTTTTTCATATTTTAAACCCATGTGCAAAATCACTCTGTTACAATGTTGTAATGTCCTGATAAGAAAGTATTATCCCTGTACTAATTACTCTTCAAAATATAGGGCTCAGTCCTGCCAAAATCTAAAAAACCTGCTGCACTAATGAGCTCTGAATTCCTACTAATCTGGGTGCACCGAGGGCAAAATTTATGTCCTGATCATTTCCCCCAGTGGAAAAGCAATAGGAATAACAACAACACTTTATTGTAACACTTGTCAGCCTAGAAGACCCCAAGACTTTCTCTTTATGTTTTAAATACTAAAATTCCAGTCCCAGATGGCATTCTGTGCCCTACTAGGCCCTATCAATCCATCACCTCTAAACTCCACTAGGTATAAGGAAGTAAAATGAATTCAGAAATTACTGCAGTAAAAAATCAGAGATCCTTACATATGCTGCTTATTTGTACCATGTGAAGATCTGATTTCAATTTGTATATAAAACATAATGGAAGATGCTAATAAAGCAACAGAAAAGCCCACATCAAACACATCTTGTGCTTCATTTAATAGGAAACAGAGATCTGTGTGACTTTGAGAAGGTCAGAGAACAATGGTTATGGATTCTCAGTGGTTTTCAACAAACTGGACAACTGCCTGTATGTTGATGAGCTCTTGAATGAGCCTGCCCTGTCTGACGGAAGACTGAGAAGGGGAGACAGAATCATTATGGTACAGTAATCCTTTGAATTTAAAAGGAGGAGAAAATATTTGCAGATCAATGCCATTTGGCCTAGGTATTTTTATTTTTATCATTGTAGGAACTAGTTTATCACATGCTTATGCATGGAAGTGCAAATGAATCAAATTAGTATCATTCTGCTAACTTTAGTAAGACAAATTTCAGACTGAATAGCTCGTATACCTATGCAAATTATATGTATCTAGCAGTAATGCAAGACAGCTGACACAGTAACTGCTTTCCCACTTAAATGAAATCAGCCAAATTAATGTATCAAGAAAGGCGACCTACAAAGGATGCAGGAATTATGTCCTTTGTAAGATATGAACAAAGCCTACTTTAAGGTCCATCTTCATTTGTTGCATCATCAAGACTTTTCTTCCTTGTTTTTTGCTATGGGATTTTGAGTTCCAAGAAAAAAAGATACACTTTTATGAAAACTGTGTATTCAGGAAAACAAAAATTCAAAAAAGAAATCTTACTGCACTCTTAACTGTTGCATTCACTGACATTAAGTGTCACAGCAAAGCATTCATATGAAAGCGAAAATTACTTCAAGTTCACGTGTGTATTTTTGCAGGAGATGTTGAGGAGAAATATATGATGGTCAGTGAGATCTATGACACGACTTTAACGGTTTGTCTTTTAGGTGAATGGAGTTGATGTTACACCATTACCATGCAACGAAGCCCTGACTTTACTGCACAGCTCTCCTCCTGATCTGCACCTTGTAGTTGGCCGTGCTGACAGTGATCTGTGTCCCTCCATTAGGCCAGATGAGCTTCCTGAAATTACTCTTACAAAAGGTGCCAATGGACAACTAGGTGTGTGGTAAAGACAATGCATAGTTTCTTGGACAGAGATTGTGTTCGTGGTAAGATGATCATAAGCAACTGTGGCCTTGGACCGCTATGATCCTGACAGACCTCGACACTTTTATGCTGTCCTCCTTCACCATGACCCATGAATAGAGAGCTTTATTTTGGGCAGGATCTTAAAAGGAAGGCTATTATCTCTTGTTAGATCAGTGAAGATAGCTGGAAAAAAATATTTTTTGTATTATTACCCCATGAGCTGAAGTTTATGGCAGATCTCCAGTTTCATATTTTCATTACACTAAAATACAGATAATTAGTTGTCCAAAGATGTTAGTAGTTAGGTGATGATGTCTACTATTTGCTGAGATGCATAAAGATATACTAGATAAAAAAGGACCAAGTTTGAGAAGGATGAGCCACTGGTTAGGGCAATAGTCTGCAATTTAAATAAACTCTTCTTAATCCCTGATTTACGACAGATAACCTGAGTTTGTCACTGAAGATATGTCTGCATTGTGCAATAGATGCCATGCGAGAAGTCCCCACAGTATGAATATCTTGCTATTTCTACACAATGCAGCAAGTGCTGTGCACAGATAAAACTGCAGACCCAGGAAATAGTATAGCTATATTTGCTCAGGTCCAGCAACCTGTTTCCATTACAGAAACTAGCTGGCTTGGAGATAGCTTGAGTATCATTGCACAATACTGTTTGGTGCCGGATAGACATCTCCTTAGTTTTCATGTGCCTCAGTTCCCTATTTAGCAAACAGGTGACCAAGGAGAAATGCTCTAAACACTACAAGGCACTTAGATAGTGTGGTAATGAGGGAGGTACTGCTAAGCAAATAAGAGTCTTACTCAAATGGCTGTTCAACAGCAGGTGAAATACAGTCCTACGGAATAGCTGAAATGTTCAGATGGGCAATACTGTTAAGTTTTTTCCATGTTTTTTAACACCTAATTGCATTTCACTCTCCCAGCCAAAGCTCTAATACGTGGTCTCACTGGAGCAAGATTGTTTATAATGTTGGTGCCTTGTTCAGTCTATCCCCCAATGATCCATGTCTATTCAATTAGGCTATATCTCACTGACAGGGAAATTCAGAACACACTACCACAAAGATGTTTCGTCTGCATTACTCTAGGCTTGAAGCTGACAGGAGGAGCTGGAAGCAAGTTACAAGGTATTTATGTACTAGAGATAGTGCCTGGCTCTCCTGCCAGTGTGGAAGGTAGCCTGCAGCCCCGAGATCAGATTCTGTACATCTGTGGACTGTGGACTGAGGGCATCAGCCTGGATGATGCCGTGAGAGTGTGTGAAGCTGCCACTCAGAGCGTCCGAATCAAAGCAACAAGGTAAATCCAACTCTTTCGGCCCTTTTAGAAAGGAAAGGGGTAAGGTTTAAAAAAAAAAAAAAAAGTAAATAACTTTACGTGTAGGGTAGAAGCAGAGCATAGTCAATCTCAATCCTAACTGTAAAACAGGTCTCTAACTTTTATATCAACAAATCAAACAGGAAAAACAAGAAAAACAACAAGAAAAGTGCAGTAATTCAAAGGTCTGAAGGTTGTGACCTCACGGGTAGCATCCATAAGATAATTTAACTTCTTGTAATTATAGCTAACGCAGAAGAATATGGGTATAGGGTGAGCATAGGTGCACTCATATAGCACGAATAAGTACAGTCAAGCTTCATGCTTCATCATCCAAAAACAAATGTGCACCCTTTAACTGCGAGGTAGGCCACCGTTTTCAGATCTCCTTTTGCCCAAGAATGAGAAATCCTCTGCTTCGTATTTCCACCTCTAGTTCCAAACACCTCCGTATGTTTTTAGATTCACAATTATAGGCAAGCAACTGCCTCTCTCTGCAACCTCTGAGTTACTTTCAACAGCCAAATGTTTTGGAAAGGTGTTGAAAACGCAGCATCTAATCTGCAGCATGTAACACAAAGTTCGTCCCAGGGTTGATCAACACCTGCAGTTAAGAATTGCCTTCATCAGGTCTTGACTGCGCTTTAGATTTATTTTGTTTCTTAGTCTGATAGAGCATCAGCAGAGGTTCTGGACTGATACACAGAAACAGCTGCTGCAGATCTTAGAAGAACAGTCAAACAGTAACACAAAAGCATGCAAATAGCTAAGTTACATAGCTACAGATAGTGACAGTTTCTGTCACAGCAAGCTTAAAGTAGTTCAACAAACTTTTATCAATGTTTTATTAATTACTTGCACTGTGGAAGCAGCTGGAGAAACTGCAGCCTGATTATGCTTATTGCTGTATAAGCACTTTGTAGGCAACAGACCCTGATCTTAAGAATTTGCAATCTAAGGAGACAAACAGAAAGAGGGTAAAGGAAATTGCAAATTCTCACTCCCATTTAATAGAGGGGAAACTGAAGCTGAATTCCACAAAATAAACCACAAAGCAGTTTTGTACTGGGACAGATGTTATAAAATGTTCTTTCTCAAACCCATGTAATTAAAATATTTTATTGGAGGCAAAAATAGATAAATATTTCATATATTGATATAATGCTTTTAAAAAAAAAGCAATTAAGAATAACAAAATAATGGAAGTACAACCATGATTTATACAATTGACCTTTATAAAATAGCTTTCATATGTGCTTTACAAAGCATGCAGGTCTTAATGGTCCAACTATTTCACTTTTTCTGCCCCCAGAAATGGCAATCCAGTGGTTCCTATAGAGCAGGAAAACAGTAAGTAATGCTAATATTTTTGTTCTTGAGTTCAGAACTTACTTCTGATTTTGGAAATAAACACAAAGTACTGATTCATTACATTAAAAAAATTACTAACAGACTGCAACTTGGCACTTGATATTTCTGTTGTACTAAGGGTCTGAAGAAAATTAGCTAGTTCTGCACAGATAGAAAATGTAGAGGTCTCTGTAAAAAAAATTATTTACTTAATTTCACCCCTATTTGTATCTTTCATAGTTTCTGGTTTTTTGAATTTGCTGTTATGAAATGAGACTTTTATGTGGGCATATTTTCAATGTCTGTTTTGATTATAACTAATTTGTAAGGTTTTTTTTCCAGTATTTTTGAGCCACACTTTAATATGACACCACTACTTAATCATCTAGACCAAATTTTTAAACTGATGTCAATACATCTACAGAAAATCACAGGCAGTATCAATATCTCTTAATTAATATAACAGCATTCCTATCAAGGGATTATACTTATTATAAATGTAAATATATACTATACATATTTCTCAAGACACTTCCAAAACAGGTTACCAGCCACCATCCACCTCTGATACAAATGTATTAACAGTTCAATGGTGCAGTTCCCTGCCGCCCTTTCTCTTTTATAATAAAGAATTCTCGCCTTCGTAAAGTACTTTAAAAATCTATAGTAATTTGTGTTTGGTGCTCTGTTTGCTATTATCTCTGATAGATTTATCTATAAATCTGTAAAAATTTGCTATTAAGGAGGTATGCCTTCATTTTGTATATTCTCTTAGTTACAAAAATATAAACTAAAATTGCAGCTACAACACAGAGCTTTTTTTTAAACTAACTACAGAATGCTCATTGTTTTCTATAATTCATAGATTAGAAGTACTTTGTGGGAGGCAACTAACATTACCAAAAAAAAAAAAAAAAAGATAAAGCAAAACTCAAAACTGAAGAATCCAAAAGTGCGCTTTGTCCTCACACATATCCAGCCCTGTGGACACTAATATACTCTGTTTCTTCCCCTACTTGATCATTGCCACATGCCTATAAGGACTCAGCCTGGCTTTTGATTGCTGTCACAATTTTAAAAAATACCAGTGATTGAGATGCAAATATCTCTGCAGTTTATGAAAGAATTATTTATATCACTGTGCAAATAGAGAAACTTAATCATGCCATTCTAAGTGTCTCATACTACTTCACAGAGTGTCAATATTAGATATGAGCTGAGAATAAAGGAGCCTTTATGCTTTATTTAATAATCTAAGCTCTGAGTTTATGTTCCCTTGTGTACGTGAAGCTTAGTGGGAGGACTGCCAGTTAAAACAAACCTAAATATATGTTTTTAGGGCCACCTGCTGAGACAGAGAAAGCCAGTGTGTATCTCTCAAATGAAAACCTGAATCCACAAGAACAGCATCTACCCCGTCAACATGGTAAGGAGCTTATTTGGCACTTTTCCACTGGACTCTGTACAATCTTGTGCCACCTCTTCAAAAGAAAATAAGGTCTGTAGGTGGTACTGGCAGTACACGGGAAAGATTAATTATTAGTAAGCAAAACTGCCTCCCTTGGAGTATCACAGAACGTTCATATGTTACCTGTTGTCCAGCTGCTGTCTTTGACCCTGCAACATGCAGCTTTTAAAGGTAAGTTTGGAAACTGCTCCCTGGGATGTAAAAAAGCTCTGCAGAGACAACATGCAGAAAGCTCAGCTCACAGTTCAGGAGTGTAGCAGGCTAAACAAAGCATATAAGCTCACAGGAAGTTTTTTGCATTCTTTTACATGTCGAATATGAAATGTTTTCTGATGTCTCTAAATATTATGATTCAGTGCTATATTATAAAACATTTTCCTAGTAGAACTATGTAAAAACCGTTGCTGCTTTTTCACAGAGAAACGTTTGGAGGAAGCAAATTGTGGTGCTGAGCAAAACACTTCCGATTCCCCAGAGCATAAGGTAAGTGACAATCTAATCAACTGTGAGATCCGGTCCATCAACTAAAGTGATCTAGATGGAGTGAAATTTTTTCAATAGTAGTATTTCATGTATTTCCTTCATTTTTGGAAATGTGGACGTAACGCATTTGGGACACATCTTGTGAAGTGTGGAATTGCCTCTGACTAGAATTCCCTCACTAGAATGTGCTGAACATTTTCCGGGGTCAGACCCTCCTATAGTTGTTTTCAGTGTATAATACCACTATCTTACCAGCTTAGTAATACAAGCATGACTCATATGACCTAACCCCTCCATTAGGTCTTAATGTTCCTCTTAGTAGGAACCCTAATTTAGAAAGAAAGTAGCACAGAAAACATAAGATATAATGGCACAGCATGGGATTCTAGGAAAAATAAGTGTAACTGTAATCATGAAATATTTTCACAGCAAAGTCAAAACAATTCTTGAAACCTGTGCTTTACGTTTCATTATGGGATTCTCAGATGGGACATTTGAAGAAAGGGTAAAATCATTCCAAACCCTTGGAGTATTACACAATGTTGACATAAACTCAAATGGTTTGAATTTACAATTATTGATGACTGATGGCATTTTAGAAATGATGGATACCTAAAATAGACCGTTGTGTTCTTCGAAAAAAGCACCTTTCACACTCAACATACAACAATTCCGGTTTCCTACAAGTGCAAAAATGGCTTTCATTTGTGCAAATATGTGGAAATGAATGTTACATGGAATCAAAATTGCCCACTTTGGGACTGAAATTTCATGGCAATAGATTTCCTAGTTTTCCGTTGATAGTGGTTTGCAGGAAAGGGCTGTTAAAATTAGACCTCCATCCTGGCAGTAAAATTGGAACAATCTTCTCAGTTCTGATTAAATTACCACTATTACTGCTTCTTTCACATCATTTAATCTATGATGGTTTATCTGTTCAACTCAAATAATTTTTAAGGACAACACTTGGACCATTGCAACTGGCCATGCAGCAAATCACAAACATGTCTAGGTTACTGCTATTTCTGACATCCTACTTGACCCTAAAAAAGCAGCGGATTGTAGGGCTGAATAGAGTGCTAAAGCCAAATATATATGTTGGAGTTGCCAAAGTTAAGATTTTCATTATAGAACAGTGAAGGAATGTGATGTGTTACTGTTGTGCTAAAGATAAAAGCAACTTGTTTGTCAATGAAGATGAAATAGTCAACGTATTATAAAAGGATTACAGAAGTACACGTTTCCTTGCTTTTAAGGGTTTATCTTCTCCTTCTAGCAATTATTAAAAAAAATGGAAATATATATGTAATATTTTCCTTTTGATACATATATGCAGCTGCTGTGTTAATCACTGGAAGCTCTACATGTCTATTCAAGACAAGAACGTATCCTATAATTTACATCAGCCAATGAGGACTGTGAAGCACACTGGCATTCTTTGGGATTAAAAATACAAATAAAACACAGCCCTGAATAAACTCCACTTTAGACTGTGTCCTCTTGCATTATAGGACTTTATAATTAAGATTGAGTTGGAAAAAGCAGAAAATGGGAGCCTAGGATTTGCACTGGTAGGTGGAAGAAATGGCAGGGCTATCCTAATAAAAGCCATCAGCCCGGACAGCATTGCAGATCTAGATGGGAGGCTTCAAGTTGGTGACATCTTGCTGAAGGTAATGCTTGTTCTTCATTGTTTTGGCCCATCTTTTCTCTAACTACTGTGGCTCTACAGTGAGCGCTCTGTTCAGTGTGACGGCTGTGCAGATTAAAGATTTGAGGCTGCTTGACACAGTGACATGTAGAAGAAAGTGTCTCTAGACTCCTGCGGGTGAGAAGGGTGGTCTGGGGCTCCCCTTGCATACACTTCAGCTTCCTGCAGTCCTGAGACTCTCCAGAGCTACTCTGCATGGGAACCACCCTGCCACGCTAGCAAAAATTTGGAATCAAAGAAATGCAGCTTCATTTCCTACTTCTTTCACATTGCCTTACTGGGCAGATGCAGAGGGTGCACAAAGAGTAGGAATAAAAGGAAGCTTGAAGAAAAGAGAGGAGACTGTGAACATATTAATCTGCGTATCAGGATAAGACTTCTGCTCTCTTGCTTTTTGCGGAAGGAAACCTAGCTCCATGAGCAGGAAGAAGACTGTAGGGCACCCCAAGACATAAGCAGACCCAGATCAGGAGGGCAAGCAGTGAAGTACAACTATTCTGCAGTGTAGCTGTGCCCAGCAAGGACTCCACATGAAAATCAGGGGAGCGAGAGCTAGCTGACCACAGCGTGCATACAATAGCAGACCAGCAGGAGAGTGGGAGGAACCTATCACAGGTACCAGTCAGGTAGTATCAAGACAGCCAAAAAGCACAGGGGTTAGGGCTTTTGAACCTTTATTCATAATCTTTCTGTCCTAATCACCTTTAAACTGCAAATCACTTTTTGTACCCTAAATTATTTTTTTCTCCCCCCCGTTTCCCCTTTCAAGAGGTTCAATATTTTGTTGTTTTGTTTTCTATTTTTCATTTACTTCCTTCTCTCCTCCCTTTCCCTGAGGAGCGGAGGGAAATGATGTCCTCTTAGTGTGCCATAAAGCACAGACTATACTTCTGTTGTGCACTGCTGGCAATCATGGTATAAAAAAGTAGAGCGGAGAGGATCAAACGAGTTACTAAAATGGAAGAGAATGAGAACACATGAACTGCAGAGAAGATGTGTAAAACATGCTCAGTGCTGAGATATGTAATAGCCTTCTGTTATAGGAACCTGGAGGTACATGTCATTGTGTTTTTCAGGTGAATGAGACTTTAGTGTCTGGTCTGCCACGCCAAACTGTTATAGATCTGCTACGCAAGGCTCGAGGCACTGTTCAGCTCACGGTCTGCCGAAGCGTGGCTTTGCATTGGGCTTTTTCAGGCAACCAGAGCAATAATACACCTTCCTCTCAAAACACAAAAGCACAGTCTGGTAAGCAGCTGCATCCACTCAGTACATGTTAAAAGTGGGATCACGATGCCTGGGCTCGGTTTTAATTTCACTAACTTTACAGTTACTCCTAATTCATAGCTGTAAATACAAGTAAGTTCTTTACCCTGCCTTACAGCACAGACCAAGCCATGCAAGATTTAGGATCACAGGGGATGCCCAAGTGTGATTTTAAACCTTGGAATGGTGGAGACAAAGCTGTGGGACCCTCAGAGACACTCTTAACTTAGCTTGTGTTTTTAGGTCATGATGGTTCCGAGTTTGCACTGATTTTATCCAGTTCTGTAGAACTTACTGATAAAAATCACAACCAGTTCCTGACCCAACTGCTAAAATCCATTTCCCACAAATTTCATATCCCAGGGCTGCTACTTTACCTTCTGGAAGCGCTATGACCTGTGATCTGCCTGGCAGACAGGTCCTCTCCCTTCTGTGTCTGCTCATGCTCAAAGCTAGAAGCCTCTGCTCCCAGGCTGATTGCTATTAGTTTGAGAGCACACCCTCCTACACAGGCAGTGCTCAGAGAGCTGACTATCTCTAATTAAAGAAATGCAAAATTTAAATATTTATTAAATCTGGGAGTAGGAGCAGGGGTAGACTATTACCAAAAGATGATGGATTTATAGTCCTCAGTATTCTATTTCTTTGAACACAGAATTATTTCCTACAATGTGGAGAAGCTTCAATAGGAAGAACAGAGGATTCCTCCTTAAAATCCCTTCTAGCCTACTTGTTAGAAATTGGGAGCTTTGTTTCAAATCTCCTCAGGCAAGAAGTCACTGTCATTGAGATCTGTTTTCTCCCCAGCTGACTGGAGAGAGATGCACAGGTGACTGTGGGTTTTGGATATATTTAACAGCAAACACTTATGCATCTAGTCAACTTCACTGATGCAAACTTACCTGCCTAGCTATTCTAGGTAATTCTGTGGTTAGGCAGCAGCTGACTGTAAGGTTCAAGGATATCAAATATGGCATATTTAAATTTTCCTATTTCTTTTTCAGTGATTTGCAATTGACTTTTCAACCAATCTTTTACCATAATGCCTTAAAGCCTCTTTCTGTAAGGCTGAGAGAACTGTTCAGCTCCAGCCTGGAAGGAGAATGCTCGCTTCCCCATCCCAGCTCCAGTTTAATTGTTGGGATAAGTGAGGCAGAAGAGGGAAAGGCAGCCAGGTACAAAAAGGCTGACCGAAGTTCTGGCTCCACTAAAGGGCGTAGCAAAATGGCTTTGGTGAGACTAGGCTTTCCTCCAGCTGTGCAAATTCAAAGGACTAGCTGCAGTGACATTTATTTGGGCCTTGCATGACGCTGGTGAATTACACAGTTGCTGGGAAGTTCTAACTGTTTTCCTGAACCAGTAAAACCCAATGGTATTATGGAAGGATTGGCACTGAAGTAAATCTATACTATTTGTCCCTCATCACTGTAGAGGCATGATTTGGGTTTGGAAGGGCAGATTTAAATTCTATTATGGATTTTTTTATGACTCTTAATGATACAGGTGGCTCCTTCAGTGCACCTTCTGGTCAACTAAATTATGCTGGCTTCTTGAATGGTGATATGTGCCATTTGTGCTTTTCTGCCCCTCCCAGAGCAACCAGAAAAGGAATATTTCCTTCCAGTTTCTGTTCCTGTATCTCAATTCCTCTTCCAAGACCGAAGTCCCCTGGTGTGGGCTGCACAGAAGAAATGGATTTATATTTTCATGCTTTAGAGGTATTTTACTTGGATTTTATTTTCTTGTATTCAGATGACCACAGTGCTGAGGGAAGCCTAGGAGCTCACCCTGTCTTCAGTTTCAAGGAAGAAGAGGAATCCAACCAGATATGCAGCCAGGTAAAATTTGAATCAGACTTCTAGAAGTTATCAGGCAATGTACTTGTATGTTTGTTGACAGAAAGGGTTTGGTGCAATGCAGGCAAGCGAATTTAGAGCCACACCTTGTTAGTGAAAAAAGATTAGCTTGAGGAAAGTGTGCTGCAATCACTGGAGCTGGTAACATTTGAATGAGTCAGGGATTCCACTGAGATAAGAGCATATGATTAGTACAACATACATATTAAATTGGGGGGGAGGGGGAGCAGGGAAAGGAAGGTTGCACAAGCAATGCGAGTTCTAGTGCTATATAATTTTGGAATGAATGATTTATCAATTTTACCGTTCTTTTAGTACTTTAAAATGTAATATACTTCAAAAGAATATTATTCACCTATCTTCCTATTAATATTCATAACTCTAAGGCTCTCAAACTTCTTCAAATTGGGTTATGTTTTTAAATCTTAGTAAGGCCTGCAAAACACTCCACATTCAAATTTTACAGCCTCTATCCTTTCTGAGTTATACAACTGTGAAACAACTCTTCAGAAAGTGTGATAAGTACGTCTTTTTCATCTCCAGAGCTAAAAAAGGCCCCAAACCCTGCCTCAACCAATGCTAATGAAACTAGAAAAAGGGAAATGGAGGAAATCCTTGAAAGGAATAAGCTACGAAAACCTTTAAGAGGGATCTATTGAGATAGTTTTTAGTACGCAGTTGGAATGAATGTTGGAAATAAACTGTTAGAGACTGGTAAAAAATCATATCAAGACAAGGTTACGTCCATGATCTAACAAAGAAGAACGTCAAAGAAATCAGAAGTGGGAATTTCTACTAAGGTTACAGGTTCCTTATTAGACTCCAGAGTTAGCAAGGCATTAATACACCCTCTTAGTTTTAAGCAGGTGATTAAGTCTACCTAGTTCAGCAAAGGATATGCCTAACTTTAAGCTCATGCCTAAATTTTTTGCTGAATTGGTTCCCTAAACTCTCTATTCTTCATTATTTTCAGCTTGCCTTTAGCTCTGTCTTCTATGAATAGGAACTATTTGCACTTTACTTTACAGAGCACAGCTGCCATCCACTCCAGACATGTAGTCTTGGAAAACGACAAGCTACCAGGAAATAAAAAAAAAAAAAAACCTCCAAACAGATTCATAAAAGCAGCAGTAAAAAATCTTTCCTCAGCAAAAAGAAAACAAAAACCCATATAGCATTCTCCAACCACTGTGGTCAGTATATGCAGAAACTGGATAAATTAATTCATGGTTAAATGTGCACCCATGAATCCCCCTCTTCTAATGGAGAAATATAAGTATGAAAGTAAGAAAGTAACATATAAGCAGCAGCTACTGTAATGATTCTTTGGAGCATTCAATAGTTTATATTGTGTAACATGCTGGGGTGGTTTTCTGAGTGCATTAGGAATATTAAGCAGGGAAAGAAGAAGAACAACTCCAGTCCGAGCTAAAATTTAAATAATTATCTGTCAAATGTTACAGTTGAGAAGGAGTCACTTCCATACACTACAGGCAGATGTCCTGCATCATAATCTAAATGCACCATCCAGTTATTATTCTCTAGTACTGAAAAACAGCCACCAGTACTATTGCTTCTACTCCCATCTGGAGGGCAATCAAGCTTCTGCCTTCTCTGTTGAGTGTTTCTTCTGCAGAGCAGCTGCACCCTGTTTCTAACAGCTGGCACCGTTGTGTCTGGGATAAAAAATGAAATTATTACCAACAATTCCAGCTCAAACACTGGTGCTTTCTGCTGCCAAGAGTTGGGAGGTAAAGAGCAGATTGTGGATCATGACTCCTGTGTCTGCACTTTCTTTATGAGATCAGAGAGGATATAATTAACATGAACCTTTTCAAAGTTCACCCATGCATGCCAGCTTGTACAGAGATTTCTGAAAACTGCATTGTTATGAAGCTCACAAATACAGCTAATGGGGCTTTTTACTCCTAGTAGATCCTGCAGTGCTGAGTCAGTTATGTACTTTCTTCTCAAAGCGGAGGCTATTCTTTACATCTTCCCTTTCCTTCTTGGGTGAAGGACACATTTTTGTCAGATAATAAAAAAGAATACTGATGGAAATACCTATATTGTTTATGTTTCCTTTTACTGATTTTTCACAGCTTTTTCTTATTTTATACCTACAGAATCCCAAAAGTAAACACAATTCCCTTTTGCAAGATCAGCTGGCTGGACAAGAATATCAAGATATTACCAGTAAGAACGCAGACAGGTAAGTCCTTCAGATATAGTAAAAATTATCAACATAAATATTATGGATAGGTTATTCTTTTATTTCCAGAGCTATACTAATATGGTATGCAAACACACTCAGATGTCCCAAATTATATATACATAGTTCTATTGAAATGCAGCTCCATCTGCAGAAAGAGCTGCTAAACAACTTTCATGCAACAGCTAAGAGAAACGAGACAAAAGCTTTTAGGCATATGCATATAGAAAATCTCTTGTTTTCTTAATGGTCTTCATGGCTTGGTTCTCAGGACCACTGCGTTCTGCTCCCACTGATGCCACTGGTAGGGTTGAATTCTAGTCTGGAAGCTAGCCAGTCAGAAAACAAAAATAATTTACTGTAACAAAAGTAACCAGTGATAAGGAATAACTAGCAAATATAAAAATATTGTGGTCATGAGAAAAACCTTGAGGGCTTGTACACAGTGAATGTGTGTACAACACAGTTCAGAAGTGTAACTGCAACTCATGCAGACATGCCTTTCAACTTGCTAGCCGAGAAAGTGCAAGAAGAGCTGTGGCAGCCCAGCTGCGCTCGAGGTGAGCAGGCTCCCCATGGGTTTTGTGTCTGAAGCACGTCCTGCAGCCTGTTCTGGGCCCTCTGCTCCTACGGCTGTAATAATACTGATGTTGGACCCCAGGCATCTGAGGACCAAGAGAATTTGAGGACGTCACTCCAAAGAAAGTATATGGGTGCACAGTACAAGAAAAGAATAATCTTACTTAGAGTTTTAAATATACAGTACAAGGGGCAATCAAAGAATAATGCGGCACTGATAAGATATGGGCAGTTTGTTTATTGCTATGATACAGAATACGTGAAATATATGATTATTTTCTTTATGATTTATATTCCTTTTTAAATGGAAAAAAGGTTATAAATGCTTACATTTAAAACTTAAAATTCTGTAAGAACAGTAATAGTCAGCCAATCAATTAGGGAAGAAAATCTTCCCTAACTTACTTGCATACAGAGACCAAGTTTGAAAGAAGTCTTGGGAGCATTTGGAAGTGAGAACATCCATATGAAAATAGGTTCAATGCCACTAGCTACTATCTCATCACTAATACAAAATTATCTTGATCTATACCAGGTAATCAGGTATGATCACTATTAAATTACCTTACATATAAGCAAATATATCTATTGCTAATACTAAGTTATTTTATCCTATATAAGGATAATAAGTATCTCTCCTGGTTGTTTTGCAATTAAGCTAACTTTCTGACCCCCACCCTGTGGTCTGAATTTTTACCTCTAGTATTTTCAGGTAGTTCTACTTTCTACTTGCAAAAGCTTTAGCTAACTTGAACATGCACAGCCTGCAACAAAGCTGCTATTTATACTGTTCTCTTATTCTCCCTCTTAAGGCTGCCTTTTTCTATTTCTTACATTATGTATTATAATCCTATATAGGAGAGGATTATATAAGATTGTAATATGGTCAAGCCTCTAAGAACTAAGAGCAAATGTTAGCTGTGCAGGGTATTGGATTTGGCTAGTACAGGCATATTTGGCCCATTCTGCATACATTACAATTGTATTCTGGACTGTAGACATGCCTTCAACCAAAAACATTTTTGAGGGCTCTATAATTCTCTAAATAGTTCAGGTAACATTATTGAGTGGGGCCTATTTACCTATGACAATCTCACAGTTTTTCATACATGACCCTATTTTTCAATTATTTATAACTATGACAAACTTCACTTTAAACATAGTTTTTGGCAGCTTTTTATACAAACCATCTTCTCAGCTTTTTGAAAAAACAGCCTATACAGATAATGGTAGTTTTAAACTAACTATATTTGCAAACGCTACCCCAGACAAAAAGATACAATTAATCCTTGAGCTTACAGTCTTCCAAGTTCACAACAATTCTGGAAAATAATTGTTCAAGAAAGTTAAAAGCAACTGTGAACAGATTAAAACCAAAACGTTCACACAGGCCAGATTATCACAGATTATGCCTCTTCCAGTAAAACCATTCAGCTAACCTTGTTTTATAGATATGCAGAGTGCGAAGGCTACACAAGAAGAGAGAGTCAGCAGTCGGAATCAGACAGCTGGAACAATGAAGAGGAGGATACACCCTGGAGGATTTCCTTTCTACCTAGAAGTAACTGTGCAAAAATTCTCGTTTCCCTAATGTAACAGGCCAGCCCCCCAGTACACGTACAGTGAGATGAACGCTAATCCCTTGTATACAAGCTAAGGATCTGGTCTTTGTGTCTTAACTGTGGCCACTTGGGAAACAGTTTTCACCTCTGATGCACACCAGACCTCAGCAGGTAGAAGGCCAACCTCAGGAGCTCCCAAACTCCTTTGGAGAACCGCTAGAAGGAGGAACATGAGACTGAATGTTAGTTCACAGACTCCAGGAAGGGCAGCCCTGCTGGCCACCACCTCCTCACCACCCCTGTGAGAACCACGATCACAGGCTTCACTGTCAAAAATATGGGCAACTTTTCCCTGAGCTAACGAAGAAACTCTGTCTGTTTTTAGCAGATCTCTGATCAAAGCCAGATAAACAGAGATTACATATCATGTCACGTATTATGTCCTTCTTCAAAGGGAAAAAAATCTCTGAATACATTGATTGTATTTGATTAGGTGTACAAACTGAGCAAGGAAGAGGAAAAGAAGGTTGCTGAATTAGTTTGAGCAGTATCACGATACTTTTTCAAATCATGCACTATTAGATAGGGCAAAGAAATGATACATTGGTTCAGTGACTGAACTAAATAATAAACATTGCATTTTGGGTCAGAAGCAAATTTGTGGGAAGATTTCAGTGCATAATTAAAAAACTGAAATTCTTAATTTGTCCCAAAATGAATAAAACAAAAGCAGATGGATTATCTTACAAGAGATACAGAAAATAGACCTAGATGTGGTAGAAGGCCGGTTCCATATATGAAAGACAATGTCAAAGAAGGCATTGAGAATTAATGCAATAAATTTCAGGAACATACTACAAAATGTGTTTGTTATCACTGGATATAATAGGTCCTTGAAATCATTCTTCTCTTCTCTTCCTTACTGTTCTCTACAACTCCTCAAAAAAGTAAAGGCTTATATAAACATGTAGAACGAAAGGGTCATACTCTATTTCAAGACTCTGTTCCTACAGTCACTGTATTTCACTTCATATAATAATTTCATTAAATCCTCTAGAACTGATGTACTTAAACATATGCAGAAGCATTTTCATAGATCAAGTGCTAAAACTTCTCAGAGATCTCAGACGAGCATTTACAGAAGGAAATTGCCTAGTCACTCCTAAGGGAAATTCAGCTGCTTCTGCACCAAACGAGAGAATTATTTGTAAAAGGGATCATACTGAAGATGCTGCCATATCCCATAAATTCCCTGAAATACAGGTCTCTTCTGCTTCTTCTTGGTCTGTGGAAGTAATGACTTGCTGGTAGCTTTTATCAGAGGTAAATTAGAGCCCTCCCCCTCACGCTGCCAAGCTGTGCTGGCTAGGAAACACACAAGATGATGTATCTTTTATTAGTTGCTCAATGTTTTTTTTTTTTTTTCACTTGACCTGGAACACAGCACTAAATTAACGCTTACTGTGAACTAACGTATGTATACCTGAGAGTGCAGCTGCATAAAGGCACCTATAGGATTCTTAATCAGTTTTCACCATGATTAGTCTATATCACTCTCTTGATCCAAAATACTAAGGAAGGCTTCTTCTATTAATTACATGGAAAGTCCATTAATTAAAAACTGCAAACATAGTGATCAACCACAACAGTTTTTCTGCCAACATAACAGCAACATGACTAGAGGCTTTTGTCATATGGAAGTAATTTACCTGGAATATGATTACAGTCCTTTAACGAGGCCACCTTACCCAGGAGGTGGAAATAGGGGACTAGAAAGGGTTTTCAGTAACTGCCCTGATGTCATACAGACATAAGAGCAATGACATTATAGGAGGAGGTGAACCTACAGGGAGTCAGGCTCAAGCTCTAGCTGCAAAACTGTGGTCATTTAGAAGCTGTTAATTTCCTACTGCCAGACCTGCGATGACCCAAAAGCCCAAGTCTGGTGTACCTGTGGTAAAAGGAAAAGGAGAAGAATGGGATGTAGCCCACTCTCAGTTGACTAGTTCATAGAAAACCCTTACACTTGTGAGGGCTACAGAAAGTGAATAGAAGGGGTTTAGGCAAGACCAACGCAAGTCGTCACCCAAGACAAAAACATAGCAAATACAACATTTATGTAGTGGAGTAGCAATGACATCTTCCACTAAGAAAACAGAGAGCATTGCTCCTTGTCTTCAGCCTATAGCAAAGCTGTAGAACCGACCATACAGGCTTTCTCTGAGAAAACTGAAATTTTATTCTTTGCTAACAATAGCCTATGACCGTAAAAACAAATTCCATACTACCTCTGCCTTGAGCCAGTATTTTTACCAAAGGCACTACTGTTTTACTCTTCATAGTAACAGAAATTGGTAATATGCTTTTTTTTTTCAATTGCTCCAAAAGTGATATTTCTGGAGATTTAAGTGTTTATCCATATTTTTAATCTGTCAAGTTCTGGGCCAGGATGAGCTGATTATTAAACTGAATTCTAGCTTTGGTGCATGAAAGATACTTCATCTCTTGGTCTTGAGGGGGAGTGTGAGGTAAAATGAAGAGAACAGAAGATATTTTCTGACTGCAGGGAGGAGGAATTTACAGTGATTATTCCTAGCAGTGAGATGTGACAATACTCACTTTCAGGGAACTGTTGGAAGCATAAGGGTGATTTACTGTAAAGATACGGTCAGAGTTTCCTACACCAATATAAACTAATGTTAAAGTTTACAATTCTGTAAGAACATTTTATTTAGATTAGACTCTATTTAGAAACTGTGTAAGGCCAGAAGTTCCAGTAGTTAGATCCACCTTCAAATACCACAAAACTTGGTGCTGTTTGGATACACGGTACTGACTTATTCTTTTTTCTACTGTGAACATAACAAAGCCAAAAATATTTCCTGTGTTTCACTACCACAATATAAGTAAAAAAATGTACTTAAATATTGCAGTCCTCTGTTTTTTTAAAGTCAAAGCTATGCACTGTGAATAATAATTATTAAAAACTTTTCTGTTCTTTTTGTTAATGCATAGGCAGAACTTTTGTTTCCGAGGATGAGCTGACTCAGTTAATTAACTTTAAACCCTCACTGACTGGAGCAGGTCCAAGGACTGGCATCAGAGGTCTTATTCGAGGTCTTCAGCTGCAGATTGAGAACCAAGAGGTCTTAAAAGAGTTTATGGTAAAGTGTGATTTCTGTTTAAGATCTGAGTTTTTAGCAAAGCTAAGAAAGTGATTTTTATTAGCATTCCACATGCCATATGGGAGATCTATTTGTGTGTCTTTACTGACTCCACTTTTTCAGAGAATTATTCCAGCTAGAATGGGGCTTCCACTCTGTGCTTTTTGGGGTATGCTGTATTTGGATCTCTCTTTACAGACGGGTCAGGCTTACACTGTTTCTTGTCCAAAGATCTTGCCGTAGATTAACTTTTCTCACATAGATTAACTTTTTTCTATTACCTCCCTCAGTTCTGCTGAAATTAAGCCTAAGAAGTATTCTAGAGGTTGCAACAGAGCAAGGAATCCGTGCTGCTAGGAATTCACTAGTTGAAGCATTTACTTGATGAAAGGAAACACACATTTCACATGATGCTCAAGTGATCCATGGAATACATTGCCACAAGATGCTATTAAGGTCAGGAACCTTGTGGGACTAAAACAGAAAATAAAAAGAATAAAATAATTCCATAGATAATGAAAATACACAGTTACATCTGATGGCATATAAATTATGAAAAATGTAAAATTATAAAAACATATAAGCTATATTGTTTCAGGATATAAATAAGTACTCAGGATGGGGGGTTATCAGTAAACTTACCAAAGAACAGATTATTTCATAATTCTTTAACACAGTACTGGAATTTCCTTTAATGGATGTACTCAGCACCAGAATAGATTGCTCCCATTTTTCCATAGTAATCATAATTTTATCAGTTCTTTTCTGCCTCTGACATTCTGAATACAAAATCCCATCAGCTCAAATGTACAAGATTTGTTAACTTTCCCCAAAGCTCAAGGGCTTCCATACCATTACTGATGCAGCATAAGATGCTATGAGCTAAGTCATGAGTCTGCTCAGAAAACATAAGGATCTAACAGGAAAAGCACTGAAGTGCCAAAGGCAATGGGTATTTTATTCAAGTAAAAGCTGTAGGAACTGATGAAGATGTGAAAGAACTGTCACGTGTTTCATGCTGTATACACTGTACAGAGGCACAATGTGCTGGCTGAGCATGGTGCAAGTTAGTACAATGCATATGAAGAGGTAAAAGAGAGGAAGAAAACTGAAGGTAACTCAAATGAAAATCAAATGAAATGTCACGAAGTGTAAATGGAATTAACTTATACTTTCCAGCTCCCTGACTTCACTGCATCCTGTTCCCCTAGATCTGCTATGAAACACTTTTGACCATACAATTTGCACTTAACATCTTTGGTGTTGTTCCCTATATCCATCATTTCCTCTGTCACTGAAAAGTATCTGCTGACATTTGCTATCTGTTACCAGTGCTACAACTGGCAATTTAGTTAGCATGCTGTTGATCAGGAATGCTGACTTTTAGCCAAGACTCTATTATAAACATCTATTTTACAGTAGTACACACTAGGGATCTTTAATAACCAGCACTGAGGATGTGAGTTGGAAACTTCATTTGAATAGCCCAGAAATTTTGTGCACGTTGAAGAAAATACAATGCAATTGAACTCCTGGCCTAAAAGTTTAGAGCATGTTGTAATGATTTGCTACTGCAAGAATTCTGTTTACTGATCCTGGGTCACATAAATCAGTAAGTTTGCTTACTAACTCTGTAGGTTCTCTGTAATGTGAGCAACATGGATTGACTATTTCTCTTTGATCTAGGCTTTAGAACATGTAAAACCAACAGACGACTGCAGAACTGGCAAAGCACCAGAAAACTGTGAAAAAAACAGATATCGAGATATTCTTCCATGTAAGTATGCACAGTAATAAGACATACACACACATTCAGTGGACGAAGACATGGGAAACCAGAAAAACAGCTATAAGACTGAGTTGTAGGAGGCAAATCTAACCTATCCTGAGCCACAGAGAGCTCCACTAACAATGAAATGTGTGAGATTTTTCCAAAAGAGGTGAGGTTGGACTTGGGAGTTTATGTAAGGATGTCTGTGTTGCACAATATGTAACTTTCTGAAGCTTCATCCTCCACAAGGCAGGACTTGGTCTAGTAGGGGGCCACCTATCTTAGTGTTTCCTTCCCTCTTTCTCAGAGACATTGATCTACTATATTTCTGTGAGGAAATGTAACTTGAACTGTAATAGCAGTTCTTTAAATCTATTTAAATCTACAGTTACATCTACTGCTTGGAACACAATGGAATTCTGGAAAGCATAGTGGAAATCATAGAGTTATGTAGCTCTCGAAAAGCTACAAGATTCTTTCAGAAGTATTTGAAAGCATAATATCCAACCTGATCTTTCGGCTGTTCGACTCTGATCTGATTCTAAGCCAGAAAAAAGTTTCACCACTGATAAGAAGTAATTTTAGAAGGAAGACTTGAATCCAAGAGCTGAATGATCGCTGTTAACAAGGATCTCCAAAACCCAATTTCCAATGTACTGCCAAGCTATTCCCTAGAGGTATCATGACAGCAAGAGAACGCTTTCCTTTTGGACCCTTGAAGTCTTTCTAAACTGCAGCAGCAGGATTACGCATGCAAAATTTGTAACACAGTCACCTCTGTTATATTAGTGTACAGTATAGATTCTTGGGATTTCCTCTTTTATAAAACTAATATCCAGTGACAATGGTCCCATGCCATATATGAATAGCAGTGCGGGATACGCTATTTTGAATGAACGCCGAAGGCTTGTCAGAGGGTAGTGGAAGTACCTTAAGAGAAATTCAGCTGCAGTGAACCATACAATGTACATACAGTGCAGGAATTCCTATTAGCAGTGATTGATACTAATGCTGCTATCCAAATGTATTTTAAAAACCAGAGACAGTATTTTACTGCTAGAGGCTCAGGTTCCCCATCTCTTAGATCCTAGGTGCGGCAGAACTCTGTTTCAGATCTACAGCTTAAAAAGCAACTTTCTGTTTCTGTGCAGATGATAAGACGCGAGTTCCTCTTGGAGAAAACAATGGCTACATTAACGCAAGTTACATCAGAATGAAAGTTGGAGAAGAGGAACATTTCTACATTATAACCCAAGGGCCTCTGCCTTCCACCATACCTGATTTCTGGCAAATGGTTTGGGAGAATGAATCAGATGTGATTGCCATGATGACAAAAGAAGTGGAGCTAGGAAAAGTCAAATGTCATCGATACTGGCCTGAACCTCCACATGAATCTATAGACCTGGATAACTTCCATCTCAGGCTAGGCAGTTACCAGATATTGGAATACTTTGTAATTAGAGTAATAGAAGTGATCAACAAGCAGGTACGTTGAGTATAGTTAATATTTTTGTAGATCAAGAAATTGTTTACATGAATAAATATTGAGATTATTGTTTGTTTCTTGTGTCATATTTGCTGGGTATTTTTTAGAAATGTGAACATCTGAATAACAGGCACGAACTTAGGGTAAATGGGATGCTTCCTCTTTGCTCATTGCGCAAGCAGAGGATCCAATATTATACACTTTTGGACAAGAATGTTCAAAAACTAGTTCTTTAATAGTCACAGAATCAGTGTGCTCAGTATTTTGCAGAATTGCTTATCATTCTTATCAAATTACATTGTTAGTAAAGGCTGCCAGAATGGCCTCCTATTCTGTAACCGTGAGTGGAAGGAAAGAGGGGGAGAAGGTAGTTTTCATTCCAGGATTTAGAAAGAATGACACTTCTTTCATTCATGAAAAGACATGAATGCACATGAACCTACAAATCTGACAACATATTAAACACCTAACAAATCTACTTGTAAGAACACAGAAATTGGAACAACTGGAAGCCCATTAGTCTTAGCTCAGTAGTACGTCAAAATTCAGAGCTACTTCAGCAGCACAGATTAGTTTCAAAACAAAACAGATCCAAGTCACTGAGTGCAAAGCACACGAAAGCACTTGATATGGGTCTACCTAAGAAATGATTAAGATGGGAAGATTGGCCATTATATGTGATTGAGTTCTTACCTTGTTTCAATAAACATGTTATTTTTGCTACGTTTGTCTCAGACCAGGATCAATTTTTTTTTTTACTTCAGCAGAAACTCATGCATGCATTCAAATAGTTCTTTTGCATTGAGCTTAATATGGCTTGGCTGGCTGGTCACAAGAAACATTGTCCTAGGAAAAGTTCCAAAGATCCGTTCTATTAATGATGCTTTTTTATTGTCTCTACTTTATACATTATTCTTGTAAACATTACTCTTTTATATCTGACTTACAATAGCACTTATCATCTTATTATCATGGCTATCCTATCAATACTGTTCCATTAGTACAGCTTAACATTAGCTACAGAAACAATTTTAGTAAACAGCACTGGCATGTCCTAGTTTTACAAATATCTTTGTTTCCTTTCCAACAAATAAGATAACTACAGCCTTTTGGGGCAACAAAGCAACTTCAGTATCTCATCCAAAATTATATCTAGCAAATTTCTCAGGCCTATGGGTTCTGAGAGTGCATTTCTGCAATCCTAAAAGAAACCTTAAAACCCATCTGCTTATTTCCCTCCCAACCTCAGCCCACAGAGGCATAACAGGGCTCCTGGGAGTCATTGCTAACCTTCTCTCTGTGCATCTATCTTTTAGGGTATTTGCCTTGCAGCTTCACAGCCTTTCTATGAGTAAGTAGCTCACAGAATCAGAAAGTTTCCTCAACCCTGACAAGAAAATGGCTCTAACTCACTGAATGTCTGTGCTGTCTAAAGGTCATTTTGTTTCCTTAAGCCGCACTGACTGGAACTTTATCAGGAAGGCTTCAGTCCTAAAAGCTCCTGAATTCTTGTGTGTTGTCTTCAGTTATCTAAACAACCATTTTGCAGAAGAGTTAGTGGATAGACTGAGGTCTTTATAATATAAGTCTTTTTCAGAATATGACAACACTTAGCTTTTTTTGACGAAAACACTGGGGAAAAAGCAAAAGTGCCTTCCGCTCTTGTTTGTATTCATTTTTTTGGTTGACTTTATATAACTAGGTTACTAATATTTCAGTCAATACATGTTTCTGATCTTTCTCTTCCAGACAGAAGAGAAGCGCAGTATAAGTCACTTGCAATTTACCACTTGGCCAGACCACGGTACTCCCCAACTGGCTGAGCAGCTTGTAAAATTTATTTGTTACATGAGAAAAGCTCACAAGACAGGAGGACCTGTTGTTGCTCACTGCAGTGCTGGGATTGGAAGAAGTGGAGTTTTGCTGTGTGTTGAAGTTTTGCTGAGCTATATAGAAAAAGATCTATGTGTAAGTATCAAACAAGTCCTTGTGAAGTACTGCAACGTATTATGTACTACAAACCAGTATGTACGTTAACAATATGTGTGGGTGTCTTAGACCAGAATAGTTCCTGGTAGAATTCACCCTAAAAAAATGGAATAAGCCCTGCTTTTGTTGTTTTGAACAACAGAGATAATAATTAAAAATACATCATTTGTAAAAGAACTGAGTCATAGCTTTCCCATCAGGACATGTTTAAACCTTTCTTTTTAACTTGGACTTCAACAAAATAAAAACTGTTCTCTCCTGATAGTTCAACATCAAGCAGATAGTGAGAGACCTGAGACATCAGCGTTTTGGCATGATTCAAACTAAGGTAAGCTATCAATATTCAAACTGACCTATGATTTTAAAAAGCCCAATTCATGGTACACATCCACATGCTTTGGTAAATCAGGGGCTTAAAGTATAATTTTAGCTCCCTCACTTGAGGAAAACGACACCTTTCTATGCAAGTGGTGTATAGATTCAAATATAAAAATTCTGTCCCTTAGTAAATAACTGAAGTAAAAAACAGCGAAATAACCTTTGGTGTAGCTTACAGGCACTTGAAATTCAGTGCAAAACAGCAATATAGTACAGGTACAGCGCCACTTTTTTCTTTTAGGCAAAAAGAAAGGCAAATAACAGGGATTACAAACAAAACAGGTAAGTTCTCATAAGTGCTACCCTGCAAAATTGCAACCTTCAGTTGAGTTCTGAGCTCTACTGCTGAGCTATCATCTCAGTAAACCCATCTATTTAGCCAAACCTGCCCCCGCATGGAGTTTTCATATAGCAAAAGACAAGATGAGTTTAGCTGAACTTTGAGCAAATAGGAGGTGTGAAGAAATGCAGGATAAGGCTGGGCTAGGTGATGTAGATGCCACTAGGTGTTCCCCTTTCTTCATGCAGACAAAAATTTAAGCACATGCTTGGATGTATCTTTCTTCAGGATAATAACTGAACATTAGCCTAAGCTTAAGCCTATAGATAACCTCCTTTGACCTCCATGAGACTTGAGCACATGCTTACAGGTACTTCGTTGAATAAGAAAGCGTTCCTGAACTTTTATGAGTGATGGAACAAAAAGAACAAGAATGTCCTTAAGTTGTACCCACATTGCAAAGTTGATGATGTTATAAGCAGCACTTCAGTCGGTTCATTGTTCTTTGTCTAATAAGTTGAATGTCATTGGGTATTTCACATTGGTGCCTCTGTATACAGGAACAGTATTTATTCTGTTATGAAGTCGTGCTGAAAGTCCTTCAAAACATTCAAGCCATGGACCTCTACTGACTGCGATAAGACTCTTCCCTGTTGCTACTATTCATGGACTCCCTGGGACCACTCAACGATTGCTCTAAAGGGATGCTAGCCCAGGAGAGAGAAGTGTTGTACTACATGCTCTGTTAGATTACTCTGATTTTTAAATCATTTTTAAACTTTGCTTAACATGCCCTAGCTAAGTTTAATTTAAATCTTGGCTTGTAGTTTGGAGAAACATCCGGAACTGCAACACTACTGTTAATTTACTCTGGACAACTTGAGAGTTCTCTGTAACAACATATTAGTTGTTAGGAAGATATTTTTGGACTATGATGAGGCGAAGGCAGCGTCTGGATTTAGCTTTACTGTCCAAATGGCAGCTAAAAAGATCTAAGATTCCGTTGGTGTTTGTTGCAGATTAGTTGTCCCTTACATGTAGTTGTATACTTTTGGCTCCTGGACTGCAAATCAGAATTTCCTATTGTAGTTATGCTTTTGTGTAAAAAGACTCAGTTTGTTTACCTCTGGTTGCTTGAACAGTGTAGAATCATTTCCAGGCATCACTCTAGCACAGGAATTTATACTGCCATCACTGAAAATCTTAAATCAAGAGACTGACAAAAAGATAGGACACCCCAAGCCCCTAGCTAGAGTTCTTCCAAGCAGGAAGAGAGTCCTCGCAATTGGAAGGAATGCTCATTTTCTTCCAGTGATAGAAACAGCTGTGGGCAGTGTTAGTATTCTTTCATTGTGCATTCATGTAAAAAGGACTGCAACACTAAACCAGATGAAATAACTGTGTATGTGTGTGTATTGTGGCACACATTTACATTTCTTCTTCCCTTGATCATTTCCATTGATTAACTATCATGTTATTATTATCTAGAATCTGGTCCAGTTTATGAAAAGTCCCAATGGTTTCAGTAGGGGCGGAATCAGATCTTTACATTAGAGTAAATAACTCTCTGTACAGTTTATTTCCCTTGCAAAAAGTGTTTCAGTTTGTGTGAGTTTGAATTTGAGCAGATATCTACTGTTTTCCCAACTGTCTGCCCCTGTGAAATTTAAAACTAAATTAAACTCTAAAAGGCTCTCTGGTGTCTCCTACAGGGAGGTTCACTGAGGGGTTTCATTTGTCCAGGTTCATAAAACTGTCTATTTCTATAGTACTTCTAATTCCTTTATCTAGAAGGTGATATATATGGAAGTGGAATTATTAGATATGCATTGGAAGAATAACTTTCAAACATAGGAAATGGTAACAGCATTTATTTAACTAAACTGTACATATTTTTAAAAATTCCTTGATTTCAAGAAAGGAGAAAATATTAATAGGCTTTTGACTATAAAACTACAGTATAGACAGGAAAATAAAATAGCTGTTTCTTTTCATTATGAATGAAAATGAGAGGTTTATGATTCAGAAAGAATGAGGCATTAAAACAAAATCAGAATTATGACTTTTAGAAAAAGCCTCTGTAATACAATTATAATTAAGGCCAAGGGCCACTTTTGGCTTTCTGCCCTCTGTCTGCTGGAAGTCAGGAAAAACTGCAAGTAGGATTTATGTGAGCCAGATGCTAATTTCAATCACACTGATGGAGATCCAGAGTAACCCTAAATCAGTGGAGTAACTCTGGACTTACATTGGTGTAAATATAAGCAGAATCCAATGTTTTGTCTTAAATTAATTGAATTTGAGCCTTCTAGAAAGCATTATTCTCTCTACATTATGAATTTACTATATTTACGTTGCATATAAAGGACTATTTGCACAATTTTGTCAAGCATCATCAGCCAAATTTTTGTTCATAACTTTGTTACCTCCATTTGGTATTTGGCCTTTCACTTTGATTTTATTTATTGTACATGTACTGCTATGCAAAATAACACTGCACACTAATGCACAATTCACTTTTTGTACCACAACAACTTTAAAAAGCTTCTCAGTGAAAATATTCCTGGACTCTATGCAAAGATGGTTTTTTTCTGTGGTTTAGAACGAGCATTTTGGATTTGGAAGACAGTTTTGTGGCACTGTTTGTTCCTCCAGGTTTTTGCATCATCTTTGCAGCTGTTTGACAGAAGTGTTTCTCGTTTTACATGGATATTAAAAAGATTTCTGAAAACACACTGGATTGGGTTTCATTTCATTTCTTTGTATGAAATAGCTGTTGTAATAGTTAACCAAACAGTAGGAGCTCTGGGGAAAAATAATCTTTTACTAATAGGGACTTATATTTAAACTTCCCCTATGGACAGCTTGGTCATGATGGTACCTTTTGTGCATTCCCAGATACCACTGACCCTGGTCAAACACAGTCAGACTATGCACTGTTGATCTGAGACGTTCTGCCATATCCCATCTTCTTATACTATAGGAGTATAATAATTACATGCTTTTAAACAAATGCTGTGGTTATGAGTCTCACCTTGACATCCTCACTCAAATGGAGCTTTGTTTTGGATTAGGCCTACACCTTTATATAGATCTAGTCCTTTTAGGCTATGGTGCTGCTAGCAGAGTGAGATAAAATAGGACTGTTTGTTCAGTTATTTTGTAATCTGTTACATAACAAAGATACTTTAGTCCATAGAAAATCTCAGAGCCTCTCAAACCAACTTTGAGAAGAGCCCGATAGATGCAATTTACCACCTGCTTTGTGACAGGCCCTCCATCTGTCCCTGCTCGCAGTCCAGGGGTGATCCTACAGAGAAGTCTCTCAGCCCACAGCCTGGAAACATTTTAAGAAAACTGCAGACTTGCAAGGGGCGATTAGCTCTGTGCCTGTCTGAAGCAAAAGGTTAGCCACCTCCATACTAGCGCTACTCAGGAACTCTGCTGCTGACAGTCAGTCTAGACAGCAGATAAATTTTGAGGAGGGAAGGACTGAAATGTCAGACAGCATCTTTCTACAACAGATACCATGGTTGGAGAAATAAGCAATGAGTCACCAGAAAGTGCTTTGCAGATGTGGCTGCTGTACCTGGTCTCTTGGGGAAAGTAAGGAACAATTTCTCCTCAGCTTCCCTTTCTTAAGGTAGGAGTGAGGAACTCAGTTTCTAGCTCTGCTGCAGATCTCCTGAATAAGCCAAATCACTTCACTTTTTATGCTTCTTAAACAGGATGCTCTGCATCTCATGGGTGTCTTCTTTTACACTACATTACTGTGAGATCTCATGTTCTTTATAGACTGGGCCATTGAACTTCAAGTGTAGATAAACTCAGAACAACACCTAGAAGACTGCTAAGACTCATTTCAGCATAGGAAATTTAATTTGTAAGGGGATCTCCTTTTCCAAATTTAAGTATTCATATCAAGAGATTTAAATCTATTATTTATTTACAGTAAAATCTAGGGTGCAGTTAGCTGATTTTGGGGTGGGGGAGAGGTACAGCCAACACAGCTATGTACACTTATGTCCTTCAGCTGCTCAGCTGTCCTATACAGTTATGTTTTACCAGCTGACAAATCCCAGACTGCCTAAGACCTGACTCTGCTGAGCTGTTTTGTACTTTAAGTTCATATCTGAACTCAAATTAGCATCTCTCGGCCATCCATCTCTCAGGGCCTGATACGTGTTCTAAGATCATGCACTCACTGAGCCTAATGCAAAAAGCTTAGAAAATTTTGGCTTTGGCTTTCTTCTTTAAGAAGATGTCTTTGATGACTGCTCTCTAGTTAACATTCTCTCTATAGGAAAAGATATAAAGAACAACTCTGAAACAAAGCCACTGTAGATAAGCAGGCATATGAAAAGTATATTTCTGGGGGAGAATGAATGCTCGAATTCTTATATAAAGAGGCCTCTGATGCTAGCAGTGCTTAGGCACTGCTCATGGTTCTACAGATCTATTTGCATGTTGCCAATTGAACTTACTATAAACCTGTGGTCCAGCTGTACCTCCCTGAGATATATGCTTACACAGGTAAGGAAAGAACTGAGTCTTTGGTATGTGTAAAATTCTAAGCACAAATCTGTAGCCAGCCTTGGAAAAGAACCTCTGATGAATAGCCACAGCACTATTTCTGAGCCAACTGCTTTTAAAAATGCTGATTAGAAGTGCAAAGCAGAGATGGCTTTGGTAATCAGCTGTATTTTATCAGGAAGAAATGCAGTAGACCATACTTACACTCCCCTCTAATTCAGGAATCCATATTTTTTCTAAATAAGAAACAACAGACTTGCTTTATTTCTAGTAATTCTCTGAAAGGTTTTCCAACGTACAGCTGTGATTCACAACACACCTGTCACTCTCCACATGCCTTTGGGTGAAATATCACATTGTTCATAATTCAGTCTTGTGGGTTTCTTGTCATCTAAATGAATAGCACTGCTGCCCATATAAATGTGATTTAATAGCTATAGTTATCATTTGCTGTATTCATCTTCAGGTTCAGAAACTAGGAACAATCATTACACTTAGGTATACTGACAATAGAAAAGAACTAGCTTGGGCTTTGATTCATGAGCGCAGGTTGATGAAGACAATTAAGGCTGACATGCTGTATGAGAAACTGCAAAGACTGAAATACAGGCAGAAATTCACTCCAGGCACCCTTGCAACAGGGACAGCAACATCCAGTAATGAGGTGCCATTGACAGATTGGTCCGGCATTATCCTAAATCACAGCAGCTGCATCCACCAGTTCGTGATTCAGAACATACACACAATTTTCCCCCAAACAGCACAAATGAGAGTCCCACTTCTGCGATCTTTACTCACAGAAAACTCCCATGAATATCAAGGCTCATTGATATCCATTCACATGTAACAAGGGATAATTCATTCCTTAAAAATCTCACACTAAGTAAACAAGTCAGACTAAAACAAAAAGAAAGGAGGATCTACTGACCCATTTTGGAGATGGGGAAATGAGGCAGGGGTTGGTGATTTGTCCAAGGAAATGGACAGAGAGTTTGTGGAAAATCTGGGAACTAAACACAGATGATATGAACTGTGGCTCTGTGTCTAATCAGGAAAATACTTTTCCTCTGTCAGAAAATAGAAGCATATTGCTCTGGCCCATTTCTGATGTGATGTCATTTAGCATATAAAGTGGACTGACTTGCAAACATCCTAACATGCAAGAGAGATATCATGGTACAGAACTTCACCCTGTGCCTGCAGTCACACTGCTTGCTTCAAAAGTGGCACTGGGATCACTGTTTGTAGTCCTGAATCCTGTTCCCATACCACCTAGTCACTGATCAGGACAAGCTGCAGTACAAATGCAAACAAAAAGGACAAATCTGTTGGAAGCAGTGCCTGTCCTAACAAGCACTCAAAACAAGTAAACATCTGCTAGTCCTCAGATTCATACTGCAGGGCAAAACCTTGCCAGTGATCCTTGATGTTGAGAGAGCAGCTCTATCCATGGAATGGCATGTCTTGTCCTCGCAGACTGGGGAAATGACTGTTTTACTGCTGTTGGGACTGCTGCTAAGATTTTTGCATCTAACATTTTATCGCAGTTCTAAAGCAAATACAAGGACAACCACCTCAGAGCTATTAAGTTACAAAATGACCCATCAGTAGGAGGAAAATGGTGTTGCCATTTTTTCCTTTAACACCTTAACAGATTTCCACAGATTCAGGACTGCACCTTGTTCATGGCTCTGTGTCACCAGCATTCCTCCAACAGCAAGACACCTGAAAATCTCCACCCAAGCCAGAATGGGAGCTCTTGGCTACAGCATCGTTGTCAGGCTTGAATGACTGACTTTTAGAGGCACCAGCTTGTATTTCTAAAACTTGCATGACTTAAATTAGGCTTCCTTCTTACTTTCTTAGACAATCAGAGAGGCTAGTCAGTAACTGTTCTCTGTCTTCCCACTTAAAGTTTAAGGCCTTGCTTACCAACCAAGTCTTGCGTGATGGCGTAAACACAGTATATGTAACTGCCACCAGTATTACAAAATAACAGCTAGCAAATACCGCCACCTATGGGCAAATCACTAGTGCTACAAGATTAATTGCAATTAGTCGCTTGCGTCCTTGGACCGGAACTACTCAATTAACTTTCACTGACGTTCACTCGACAGCTTTACCAAGATGTGCCGGGCCAGAGGGAGTGCTCTCGCTCCAGATCTGCCTGGCCAGGCAAGTGCTGCATGCTGCATGCTGTTACAAACTGTTCAGGTATCCTGCAGCTGGTCCTAGAGATCCTAAAATAATGAAATACTGCATCTACCTCAGGAAAGGGCAGATACCACTTGTCTAGGATTTTGACAGGCTCTGCCCAGATCTCAAGCAAAGCCTAACTCATGCCTAAGCCTGCTTCTTGATCTGAAAGCAGGCATGCCTGAGGGACAGTGAGCTTTTAGAGATCCTGCTCTGAGTTTTAGAGCTATTTAGCTTGCTCATTAAACCATTCAAAAACAAAAAGCGGCTAAAATGCCCGAGAGCAGTACACCCCCAACCAGGCGAGAGACACAATGGGGACTATACAGTAGCTGTCCAGCACCCCAGCTCATTACACAACCTAGCAATTAACCAGTGTTGCCTACCCGCTCTCCCCTCCCAGCGTTTCTTCTCTTGAGAGATGACAAGTCCTTCTCCTCCTTCCAGTTCAGCCCCCTTGGAAAGGAGCCCTAGCAACTGTAGGCTTTCCTTTCCCACCACATTGCTGTAAAAAAGCTCCTATTTCCCTGACCATTTCCTTCATGGCTGAAGTAGATTTACCCCAGGCAAAGCACCAGCTGCAGTACCTCTTGGTCCATTCAGTCCACCTGCCAATAGTTCCCAAGGCAGAAAGGACGTGCTGTGAGCTTGCTTAATGCCAGCATCCTTGGATGAGTGACAAGGACACTATGGGAAATACTGAACATTAGGAAAATGTAGCTATAGCAACACCAGTAGTCACAAAGCAAATCCCCACCACGAGTGCAGGGAAACTGCCGTTATTGTATACAGGAAAGTGCTGACAAAGCAGGAACTGGAGCTAGAGCATCAGAACAGAGTGTGCCTGGCCTGCAGTCTTGCCATCAATAGCATCACACACAAAAACACACCTATGGCAGACAGAAACTTAGCTCCAT